AGTAAGAGAGTTAGAAAATGAACAGAAGTAGAGAAATAGGAACATGAATAAAAAGGGCAAAATATTCTGATGAGTTTTTGTTTGATCCAAAAGATAAAATAAGAGGAGGTTGGGTCTTGTTATAGGTTGGAAGTCCAGCGGAAGGTTTGATTTTGTTATAAACAAAAAGATTGGGACGTGGGTTGGGTTTAGCCCGACCCACACTGATTGAAAGGCTAGGCTGGCTTTTACCCAGCTTCGGCCTAGTGATTTTTTAAAAAAAAATAAGGAGGAAATAGACTGGACTTGGATTCGGTCCAGCCTCCTTTTTCCTTTTCTCCGTATAAAAAAAAAAAAAAAAAAAAAAACAAATAAGAAACTTGAGTTGGTCTAGCTTCCCAAGAGAGAAAAATAAAAATAAAATAAAAAAAGGAACTGAAAAACAAACAGACATAAAAAGTGAATATCCCAAAATGAAAAAAGAAACGGAATTAGGAAAAGAAGAGGTATGAGAGAAATAGGGTATAGGTAAGTGGGTCTAGGGTCGAAGCTAGTTTATTTTAACATCTTTTTAAATACCTTGATTATTTTTTTTACTTTTCGTTATTATTAGTATTATTGCAGTGCTTTAAAGTTGGTATTTTAATTTTTTATGTGAACTTCTTTTTGTGAGTTGTTATATTAGAAAAAAAATATCTAAAATTTTTAACGAAGTCTCTTATTTGATAGAAGCTGTCGTTTGACAAAAAAAAAAAAAAAATTTATATATATATATATATATATATATTCTCGACGAAGTCTTCTATCCGATAGGGATCGACATCACCAAACATCATCATTTGATCGGGATGTTCTCCGATACATTGGTTGTATTAAAGCTTAGAGGGGATCCGATATTTAAGCCGACGTGTCATTCGACGGAGGGGACCGACGATCGTTTCAATACGATGCCCCGCCCAATAACTATATATATATATATATTTTTTTTTGTCTTTAAAATTGGAGTTCAAAAATTAGAAAATAATTTGGAAATAAATAAATAAAATATTCTAGGAGACGGATTTATGATTAAACTATATGTGGTACCTTTCTTAGGAATATAATTTTTATTCTTTGTTACTAAACAACACTAAAAGATCACACAAATGCTGCGGTTTATGGAATGCCACCGTTTTCATTCTAGTTTTCAAAAGGGCCATAGCTCTTGGCAGAGTTAAAAAATTGAGTTTTATGGAGGTTTTTCCAAGTAGCTGGAAGCTCAAATGTTTAGTCTGATTTTACAACTCATGCTGTTGTGATATTGACAACTTTGGTTTATAAAAATTATATTATATAAAAAAAAGTCTATCTTATTCCCAACTCAACTTTGTCTCTGTTTGTTTGTTTTTTTTTTTTTTTGATAAATTTATTAATTAGTTAATTAACGATTTCGAGCCTCTTCATCTTTATATATTAGGAATCATTCTGTTATCTACACATAAATTATTAATTCAATCATAACAAGTAGGATAACAAGTTACAAACGGATGTATATATGTGGAAACATTACCATTTTGGAGGAGGCATTCGAGCTAAATTACATGCAAACTTAGAAGGATGTGAGAAATGGAGAAAAAGGAGAAGCAATAATTTTATGATATCCTGAACTTCAATATAATGCTGCCTTTATACATCCATTCCCGTCCACTACACTTTGACAGCGAGAGAGGCTAGCTATAGCATATTCCATTTTCAATTTTAAGAAAACGATAGCTTAATTAATTCATAACAATCTATATCATGGTCCTTATTAAGACCCCGTGTCAGTTGTCACAATCTGTGGCATACACAAGTTTTTTTTTCTTTCTTTATTTCTTTTGTTTTGTTACTAATAATTAAAGAGATAGTATGTGACAGTTCGTGAGATTTCTAAAACATGGTAAATGCAAGTCTTTTTCTGTCTTTATTTCTTTTGTCTTTTTTTCGAAGATAGTATATGAATGTGACAGGTTGTGAGATTTCTAAAACATGGCATATGCAAGTCTTTTTCTTTCTTTATTTCTTTTGTTTTGTTCCTAATAATTGAAGATGGTATATGAATGTGACAGGTAGTGAGTTCTAAAACATGGTATATGCAAGTATTTTTCTTTCTTCTTTCTTTTGTTTTTTTTACCCCCTACAATTGAAGATAGTATATGTTGAAGTCCAGAACAAAAACTCATTATCAAATTCAAGCAACAAAAACTTCACCGGGTAATTCAATAGTAAGAAGCCGATCAACAAGTTATTATAAAATTAGATAATAGAGATTGAATTCCATTAAAAAGATTTAAACTTTTTGGTAAGTAGCTCTTTTAAAATTTTATATATTGCTCTTTTTTATTTAACTATTCAATGTAGACTATGTGCTTTAATATCCCTCCTCACTTACAGTTCATCTTTTAAGGTATGTCGAGTGACTTCGGCTTCAAAATCTTTCTTTGGGTCGTTGAGCCTTTTTGAGGTTCTAATACTATATATAGTGTTAGATAGTTAAGATTGGATTCCATCCAAAAGCCTTAAAACCTTATGATGGATGGCTCTTTCACAACTTTATATATTACTCGTTTTTTGTTTAATTATTTAATATAGAATATGTTCTCTAACGATTATACACAAGACCACATGTGCTATAATTTTAAGTGTGATATAGTTGTTAAATATCCTATAATTTTATTTTTGTTCTTGATATTATAATTTTTAAGTATTTTTTTCTGAATTTTAATTAAGTATTTTTTTGTATTGAAATTATTTTGAATTAATTAGGTTTAGTTCTCATAATTGATTTGTGTTAATTACAATGATAAAAAAAAAGTTTTGAATATGATAATTAAGTTATTGGAAAGAAAATAGAATGTTAAATTTTAAAATTAATATATTGTTATTTTTAAATTTACATAATATAAAATTACTTGAACTTAGGATTTTAAAATTGATAAATTATTTTTTGGTAAAATTTGTTTGATATAGATAAATATTTAATTTTTAATAAATATATTAGGAAACTCGAATTTATGTAATTTAAAATTTAATTGAGCTTTTTTTTTAAAACTATTTTGAATTAATTAGGTTTGGTTGTTGATAAATTAAAATAAAATTTCGTTATTGGACAATAAAAACAAGGTCCAAAAGAAGACAATAATGAAGTATAGCCCAAAAGACAATAATGACAGGTGGCGCTGGATCCTAATTAAGGACCTTATCAAACCTACAAGCCATTTTGGAGGTATGTGTTACGGGTCCTTGTAGAAGCATAAAGCTTCGTGTGTGTGTATATAATACTTAAATTATCTCATATATATGTTGATTTTTAACTACTTTTATTTGTTTTCGAAAAATTTTAAAATGTTTAATCTATCTTTTTGATAAAATTTTTTGACCATATATATTTTTTAAAAAAAGGACTGATTTTTTTTTCCAAACTAGAGAGAGTAATTAATAATTCACTCACTAATCTATCAATCGAGCTTGTGCCATTTTTCAAAAGCATGATCATTTAGAACATTCATGAATGAATGAATCAATTATCGAGCTTGTGCCTTTTTTTAAAAGCATGATCATTTAGAACATGCATGAATGAATCAATCAATCAGTCAAACTCTTCAATCAAAATCAAGGTATTCATAATTTCAATAGTAAGGACATTTGAAATAAGAATTTGGTCGATTGCTCGGATTTCAGTTTTATGTTTTATTTATTTATTTTGTTTGTCATGTGTTTGATACTATATCTCACATAAAAATATCGGATGTATAATTAACGGACACATTAGCGAGTAGTTAATTGCACGACTCAAATAGAAAAAAATAAAATAAAACTTCAGTGACTTAAACAACAAAGATTAAAGGATATATACTAAAAAAAAAAAATGATTAGTTTAAACACATAAAATGTAATTAATTCGTCCAATCTTCGAGACTATCACCAACAATTTAATAATAAAGATACTTAAATGAAAAAAATTTGTAGATATAGACACTCAAGTGGAAAAAATAAAAATGCATATAATTAATTGAAAAAAATAAATAAAAGTACATGTTAGTCAATAATATAAATTATATCATAAATCATTATTTAATAACTTAATTTTTTGAATTGAGATGATTCTTTAACATAATATCGAGTCTTATTAACTTAATGTCAAGAATTCGAATCCTACTATCCCTACTTTCTTTTTTAATTAATTAAGTATAAAGTAGTATAGACTTGTATAAATTTTAAGCTAGTTTCAAGTTCAAAAAATTTTCACTTAAAAATATATATTAAAAAATAATATAAATTATATTTTCACGTGACCTAATTCGTCCTTGATTTGACTTTTGATCCCCAATTCCCTTATTTAAGGCTGCGTGCTGAAGCCTTTCTCTACATCACAATTCTCATTCATTCTCTCTTTTAGAAAACTCAGCAGCTACAAAAGGTTGTTACTCAATCTATAATTTATTTCTTGGAAATCTGAGCTTTATAGTTTTCTTCAAATGTTCTTTTTGTAATACGAGATCTTCTTTTTATTTATTATCTCCTATCAATTCTTTGTGCAAACGATTTCATCAAATTTTTTTTATAATGGTTTTAATTTCACGTTTCCTTTATAATATGTAAAATTTAGCCCATAAGGAGTTGGTTCAGATGATAAGGAAGATTATTCTAGTTGAGTTCATATTATATTAGAGTCTTATTAGTTATTTTTTTTATATTAAGAACGTTACATTATGTATGTATATGTGTGTTACGATAGTATCTTTATTTGCGTGTGTGGGTAATAAAGACTCCATTTTCGGGGAAGGAAAAAAACTATGTTTTGTTTTGCTCCATGCATGTCTTAAAGTTCTTTGTATTTTTTTTCCTTCAATACATATTGGATCATGGATTTGGATCCTTTCCTCTTCCAAATGCATGTGCCTCGACTTTTTTTGTGTTTTTGGGTAAATTTATTAATGAGTTAATTAACGATTTTGAGCATCTTTGTCTATTTTGATAGGTGAAACCAAAGAACAGAAACAATGAAGGCGTTGCTTCGGATAACAATATGGGTTTGTTTGACTGTCATGATCATGCCAGCATTGGTGTGCCCATCGGTAATAGAAGAACCAAAGACACTCCGTTACAATACAGTAACCTTCAACTTTGAAGATGCCACCGAAGATAGCTACTCGGATTTTGTGAAGTCCCTGCGAAATGCAGTCAAAAGCAAGGAGGCGTTTGGATTACCAGTGACAGCAAAAACAGTACCAGATTCCAAACGATTTGTTTTAGTTGATCTCAAAACCGAGAGCGACAAGACCATCACATTAGCAATAGATGTCACTAATATGTATGTGGTGGGTTATCGCGATGAATATAACGGGAAAGTTCGCGCCACTTTCCTTGCTGATGCTTCTGACTTTGCAAAAAAGAATCTTTTTACAGAAGCAAAAGAAGTTAGAGTAACTAAATTCACAGGCGGCTATCCAGATCTTGAACGCTATGCCAAAACCGGAAGAGAGAACATTGAATTGGGAGTTTACAAACTAGAGCAAGCCATCGAGTCGGTCTATGGGAAATCGGTCGGGGAGCAGATTGAAGCTAAATTTTTCATTGTTTCCATCCAAATGGTTTCAGAGGCAGCAAGGTTCCAATATCTACTGAATAAGGTACTTGAAGGAGGCATATACGGAAGTTATAAACCAGATCCCAAAGCAATTTCCTTGGAGAACAATTGGGATAAGATCTCTAAAGCTATTCAAACTGCTAATGCTTCAGGAAATTTTGTCTCACCAAATAATTCAGTTAGTTTAAAGGATGCAAAGGGCAACACATGGGTAGTTACGCAAGTGAGTCAAATAAAGAACGACATGGGACTTTTGAAGTTCTTGGAGACTTCAGCAGGCCAAGCATCTCAGTTTTCTCAGCTTATCCAAATGGCATATATCTAATATCTTAACTAAATGGCAACAACATATGTTATGTAGTTGTTATTATTATGAAATAAGTGAGGTGTAATCTTGTTGTTGTGAAAGCCAATGAGCGATAGTTCATTTGGTATTAGTGTCTCTTCTATGTTGTTAAGAGAATTCTAGTTTGAATCTCTCTCATGTAAAAATAAAAAATGAAAATAATGTTCCAGTGAAAACTATGTCGATAAAATAAAAGCAAATATATATATACATGTGTGTGTGTGTGTCCATAATAATATTTGATTTGACAAAAATATCCTTAAATTTTAAAAAACAATACATATTAAAAGTACTAAGATAGCCACAAAATATGTTATGTTATGTTATTATTATTATGTAATAAGTGAGGTGTAATTTTGTTGTGAAATAACCCAATGAGTTATAGTCCATTTGGCATTAGTGTCTTTAAAGTGTTTTATTTATGTTAAATTATTTTTCGATTTAAAACTCTAAATTTTCTAATTGAATAAAATGTTTTTTAGTTTTATGCATGACATCGTATTGAAACGATCGTCGGTTCCCTTTTGTCGGATGACGCATCGGTTTAGACATTGAATTCACTTTAAGTCTCTACACAATCGGTGTGTTGGAGGACATCTTGATTATAAGATTTTTATACCAAGAGTCCCTATCGGATAGAAGATTTTGTTTGGAAATTTATTTATTTATTTATTTATTTGGTCAAACAACGATCTCGATTAAATATGAGAATTCATTGATTTTTTTTTTCTCAAACGATAGTCCCTATTAGATAGAAGACTTGTTGAGAATTTTATTTATTTTATTTTATTTTTCGTCAAACGACGAGTCCTATAAAATAGGAGACATCATTGAGAATTTTTATTATTTTACTTTTTTTTTTGTTTATCAAGCGACAATCCCTATCACATAAGAGATTTCGTTGAGATTTTTTATTATTTTTATTTTATTTAATCCAATAACTAAACATAAATTAATAAATTCACAAAAAAATGTTTAAAGTATGAACTCTAAAATTGTGCAAAAATACAATGAGAAATAAGAATAATTAGGCTATTTAATAAATAAATAAATAAAATAAAAATGTTAAAAGAAATCATTTTGGACCCCAAGCCCGTTAACTCATACCTTATTTCTCTCCTATCCCTTCTTTTTCTTTTTCTTTCTTTCTTTTTGTTCGCTCGGTTTCTTTTTTTTTTTTTTTTTTTAATTCAGGTTCTTCAATTTTTTTTTTAGTGACTTATTTTTGTTCTGTTTCTTCACTTTTTTTTCCCCTTCTCTTTATGAAGCCGAACTAACTCCAGCTTTTCATTTTATTTATTTATTTATTTTTTTTATTTTTTTCTCGGAGGAAAAGGGGGAAGGGCTGGACTGGATTATCACTAGGTTAGGACTGGGTTGAAGTCAGCCCAGCCTTTCATTTCATGCGAGCCCCAACCCACAACATTCCTTAAAAAAAAAAACAATTTACAGGCTGGACTTCAAGCCCGAAAACAAGTTCCACTTCTTTTATTTTTCATTTTGCAGATCAAAACAGGGATTTTCAAACTTCTGACCCTTTCTCTCTTGTTCTTCATGTTCTTAACTTTCTCTCTCTATTCATCATCATTTTCTAGCAACCTAAATTCCATTTTAGACCGAAGCAAAACTTGACTAGCTACATCATGTTCAATCCCAGGAGTTTTTTAAAAAATTTAAAAAAAATCTCTCAAATTCTACAATTTTTTACTCTCTTCACTTTGGATTGTTCCCCTATTCTTGTTGTGCTTCTTCCATGCCAATGCAGGTCTTTTATAGGCAAGAATCAGCTTGAATCTCTCCTCTGTAATGTCACTGTTCACACTGGATCCACGATTCAAGGAAAAGAATCTACCTTTGATTAGCCAAAAATCGAAGCATCGATGGCGCTGGGGCATGATTCTTGGACGTTATCAAATCCAGGTAACGTGTGCAAAGCAAACGAGAACTTAATCTAGGGGAAGATTTCACTCCTGAGAAAGATTGAGGAACAATCCCAGGAGTGACTTTGGGTTAGAGCGGACGACAGGTCGTCCACAGGACTTTGGTCCTGTCATCGGCTGCAAAGTTCCAAATCAGTTCCTTTAGATTTCAATTGTCTGTAATCACGCCCCTATTCCATGCAATTTCAATCTCTATAAAATGTAATTTTACCAATTGAGCTCATATAGGTTGTAATTTAGGTTTCAAATTTCCCAATTGATTCGATTGTACCCTTAATTACTTTATTTACATTTTTCTTTAATGCAATTACCCCCCTAAATGAGAATGTTTTTTTGTATTTTCTATGTATTTCTCTTTTTTTTGTATTTTTTATTTACTTTTTTTTAAGAAAATAAATAAATTCCTATAACAAGTAAATAAATAAATAAATAACAAAAGAAAAGACAAAAAAATTAATTAAAATTGTGAATTTTTTTTTGGTTATAAGCGTCGCTATGTGACGTCGAACGGGACCCCCCAAAAGAAAATTTAAAGAGTTCGGGCGTTAATTAATTACAAGATTATTTACAAAGTTTTGGAGTCGCCACCTAGTATTTAAGGAACCGGGAACCTAAAAGTAGCACTTGGTTCGAGAGATTCCTAAGGTAAGGAGTTGGTTACGCTTTTAGAAAAATATTTAATCACCTAAAAGCGCACTTTTTGAAAAAAGGTACCATGTACGATTTAATTCTAAATTATCTCCTAAAATCCATGTCAAGCTATTTTCTAAATTTTAATCTCCTATTTTTTTTAGACTAAGTGAATTTTTCGTTTTGGGCGTGGCATCATATTGAAACGATCGTCGATCCCTTTCGTTGGGTGACACGTCGATTCAAACATCGGATCTACTAAAAGCCTCGACACAACCGGCATGTCGGAGGACGTCTTAATTAAAAGTGATTTTGATGACGTCGGCCCCTATCAAATAGGAGGCTTCATCGAAATTTTTAGGCTTTTTTTTTTTTTATGACGTCGGTCCCTATCGGATATGAGACTTCGTCAAGATTTTTTTTTTTAAAAAAAAACAATGTATATTAAAGAAAAGAAGACAATAAAAAATGGAAATAGCAATTCTAAATTAATATAAAAAAATGACAAGGAATAAAAATAAACGGGCTAAAAAAAATAAATCATAAAAGAAAAAAAAATCATCCTATATAAACGAGTTAAAAAATAAGTGAACAATAAAAGTAATAAAAAAAAATCCTATACCTAAAATATTAATCCACCACTTTTACTCTTTTTTTTTTATTTTTTTATTTACACCCATCCCTATTTTTTTCCTTTTTCCTTCTTATTTTTTTCTTCCCTAACTCTATTTTTATTTTTTCTTTTCCCCTTTTTTTTTTTTTTTTTTTTTTGCATCGGGCTAGGCTTGGTCGAAATCGAGTCCAGCCCACACGCGTTTTCTTTGCCCTTTTTCGTCTGAGTTGAAGCCCGAAAACGGACCCGAGTAATCAACTTGGACAAAAACGGATCAAACACTTGAAACAACTCTCCCTCTCTTCCGTTCTTAGTTCGTTCTTTAATTTCTCTCTCTAGTTCTTCAAATTTCCCGAAATTAAACCCCTTCTCAAGCAACGAACTCAATCACACACGCACCTCAACTCAAGATAACAAGTAAAACATCTAGATTTAAAGCTAACAACAAGAATAAAAAGAAAGGGAATCAAATTCGGGGGCTCACACGGAAATCTTCCTAAGAATACCAAAATGAACCCGGAAAAATGCGAAAGAAATCCTAAAACGCGGCACCAAGGATGCTTGTTCCTCACGAATTTGTTGATATCTCGCCCTCGATTTCCTTTCCTTCGCTTTAAGAACCAAAAACTTCCTTGAATCAAAGTTAAAAATGTCTCGAAGCCGATTCGGGTTGAAGAACACAAACCCGAAATATGAACTTGCAACCCAAAACCTAGAAAAATGCGAGTGATCAAAACTAAAAATTAAGCCTTTTGTTTTTTATTTTTGAAACCTCTCTACCCGAATTATTCACCCAATTTTTCTCCCCCTTCTTTCTGTGAAAATCAAACGTTTTATAGCCAACAAATTTTCGAAAATTGAAACGAAATCCCCGAATTTTACGTCAATAATTTTCCTCTTTAATTCATGATTAATTGTGAAATCAAAACAGGAAATTCTCATTGATTCCTGTTAGTGTTGGTTTTGGCAACAAAAGCCATAATTAATACACAATCAAAAACACGAAATTCATGGAAGATTTGGGCGGATTCTCCCAAAGATTTTCGTAGAGAATTTGCCATGGAGCGAACGACGGGTCGTTGGCTCCATTTCGGTCTGTCGTTCACTCCAAACTTTCGGTTTGGTCCTCGAGTTTCGATTTCAGCAATTACGCCCCTCGTGAAATAATTTCGGTGTAATCTCAACGATTAGGTCCCTAGAGGTGCAATTTAAGGCCTAAACTTTTCAATTGACTCGATTACACCCCTAATTACTTCAATTGCACCCCTAAATGAATTTTTTTTCATTATTTTCTCTCTTCTTTTTTTTCCTTAATAAACTTCAAATAAAAAACAAAATAATAATAATAAATAATAAATAAATAAATAAAAGTAAAAAGTAAAAATAAAATTAAAAGAAAAAAAGAAAAATTTAGGTTATTACAATAACACTCTTTTATCAAGCGATTGCAATGATTCTCAATCCAAATACGAACGAAGTTTGTAGATGAAATCATCAAGGCAATGAAAGTTGAAATCATCGAAGAGTTTTAATTACGTTCCAAAAACACAACTTTATTTTTATTTATTTTATTAATTAACTATATATATATTTTTTTTGATAAGTTGAAATTATCTTAAAAAGGAGAAAAATGGACTAAATCCACTCTAAGATAAGAATTATTTGAAAACATACAATTTCCAAACATAATATATATATATATATATATATATATATTCAAACCTAACAGAAAAGGCCATCCAATTTGAAGCCATTGCTGCCCATAACAAAATCTAAATTAATTCCAATACTAAGCAAACTTTATTGTATAAAGAGCTTCTATTTTTAATCATTCAGGATAAAATTTTCAACTTGTTTTTCTCTAAATCCATATATGATAACAGCAAGACGAGCTACCATGTTGATCGTTCATGCTATTGACTGTCACAAATGGGATCATTATTTTCACTCATTTTGAAGATGGAGAGTCACATGATCAGAAAATCTTGCATGTCAAATTGTTGTACGTTTTGATCACATTTAAACTTTTATCTCTCTTGCATAATTTCTGATCTTGTTCCCATTCTTCGTAATTACTTGATAAGATTGTTAGGTATACTTACCGAGAACGACAAACGAAGGAGGTCTATCATCAACATGCATGAATGCAACCACACAACAGTTTTTTTCGTCCACGGACACAACTTAATTAATTCGTCCATTTATCAAGACTATCATATATATATATATATATATATATATATATATTATATATTTTATGTGTTTTTTCAGTAAATTTATTAATTAGTTAATTAACGATTTTGAGCATCTTTGTGTATTTTGATAGGTGAAACCAAAGAACAGAAACAATGAAGGCGTTGCTTCAGCTAACAATATGGGCTTGGTTGACTCTCATTATTGTGCCGTTGGCGTGCCCATCAGTAATAGAAGAAACAAAGGAACCACCCCGATACGAAAAAGTAACCTTTAACTTTGAAGCTGCTGACTGTACAAGCTACTTGAAATCGGTGGAAACTGATCTGCGAGACAAAGTCAGAAGCAAGGTGGTGCATGGAATACCAGTGACAGCGAAAACAGTACCAATTTCCGAACTATTTGTCTTAGTTGATCTCATATTTGAAAGAGAAAAGTTCATCACACTAGCAATAAATGTCACCAATAGGTATTTGGTGGGTTATTGTGATAAGGATGATAAAGGGAAAGATCGCGCCAATTTCCTTAAAAATGCTAACAAAGATGCTGACAAAGTTGCAAAAGATAATCTTTTTAAAGAAGCACAAGTAGTTATAACAACTGAATTTACATGCGACTATCTAGGTCTTGAACGTTATGCCGAAACTGGAAGAAAGAACATTGAATTAGGAGTTTACAAACTAGATCAAGCCATCAGGTCGGTCTATGGGAAATCGGAAGAGAAGAAAAAGGCCGAGACGAAGATTGAGGCTAAATTTTTCATTATTTCCATCCAAATGGTTTCAGAGGCAGCAAGATTCCAATACATATTGAATAAGGTACTCCAAGGAGGCATATACGGAAGTTATAAACCAGATTATAAAGCGATTTCCTTGGAGGCCAGTTGGGATAAGATCTCTAAAGCTATTCAAACTGCTGATGCTTCTGGAAAATTTTCTTCACCGATTATTTTAAAGGATGAACATGACAAAACATGGACAATTAAGAAAGTGAGTGACATAAAGAAGGACATGGGACTTTTGAAGTTCTTGAAGACTCCAGCAGGCCAAGCATCTCAGTTTTCTCAACTTATGCAAATGGCAGATATCTAATATTTATCTTAACTAAAATGGCCACGAAATATGTTATATTATTATTATTATGAAACAAGTGATGTGTAATCTTGTCCCCAATGAGTTATAGCTCACTTGGCATTAGTGTCTTTTCTATGTTTTTAAGAGAATTCTAGTTTGAATCTCTCTTATAAAAATAATCTTGCTGTGAAAACTATGTAAATAGAATAAAAGCAAGTTATATAATATCCTTTTTCGTATATTTAAATGTTATGTCTCTGATCGTGGCAATATTAATTTGATAAAAATATTCTTAAATTTTGAAAAAACATTTTCTATTAAAAGTACTTTTTTGGGAGATATTAATAAATTATATTACCTAACATGGGACTCGATCCTACTTTTTATGAGTAAAGGATTGATATTTTTAAATA